CCCCAAAAAAACAAAACAAAAACAAAACAAGCTACTCTAGATCTTGATCTAGATCTATGGTTATGCAAGAACAAAATGTCAAGAGAAGAATGCATCTCTGATATTTACCGGTCCTCACAATTATAAATTATAGCCTGATTTTAAAAAGGCAATTTCAATTTGATATTATATTAAGAATTAATTAAGCCTATTGCAATGGTAATCAGTTGTTGGCCTACATGAGGAAACAAACGCCAAGTCAAGCGCTCATGATTCATTTCCCGACCACTTGTGGTAAGCCACCTGGGGCCTAGGTGATTTTATTGGCCTGCGAGAGGTGAGGGGGGAATCCTCGCCTCATGCCCACACCGGGATGGGGGTGAGAATAGCGGGTCATCATGAGCTATTCTCACCTCGGGTGAGAATATAGGTGGCCTTGGGGTTAAGGGTAGGGGTCAGGGGTTTGGCCCGGGTTAGGGTTAGGTCTCTTCTATATTATGTTTGTTGAAGTCCTTAGATATCATTGTTGATCACTTAATGTTGCCACCCTAGGTTTTTTTTTTTTTTTCAAAAGGTGCGGTTATTAGACTAAATTGGATGGTAAAAATAAAAACATCATTATTATAAATTATAGATGTAGGCCTATGATTACTATGAATGATACACGGATTCCCATGAATATATACAGTCGAACCTTCCTTAACGGAAACCTGTATAAAACGGAAACCTGTCTTAATGGAATTTCCCCACTCCCCCTTTGATATATTCTTCTTTAATTACCTGTTTAAAATGGAAACCTGTCCTACGCGGAAACGGAAAGAAAAATTCGCTCTGTTCCGAGGGTTTCACCTGCTTTGCCCGCTCAGCCCTGATTTGAAACAAAACTCGCAAGTTTGGGTCCACCAGCTCTATACTTATTGCCATGGCTGTGCCGCTGGGCGAGGAAAGGGAGTTAGGGGTGCGATTTGGGGGTAGATGTTACCCCGTCATGTGAGCCATGAGTGATGCAGATGGTCAAGGTGGTGTGGGTGTGAAATCTCACGACTGCCCGTGAGAGTGCTCGAGTACCGAGCCACTACGGAAACTTTCCTGGGTAGCGATAAGCCAGAGGTGTTAAATATTAGTTTGAACAATGCCTGCCGCCCTGATTGTACGGCCAGCTGACAAAAAAGTTCCTCAAATCGTTGTGTTACATGATGGCAGTGAGGGGTGGCGTTGGTTGACTGTGCTTGTTACACAGGTAGGTGGGGCTAATGGTGAAAGCAAAGATGTTCAAACGTTTCTGTTTTTAATAGGTCAAACAGTGGTCCTATGAAAAGCAAGCACTGGTGGTGTGTAAGACTGACGCATGTCTTTATCAGACAGGATGGAAATATTGAGAGGTGTGAAGTTTTGACTACTGCTTGCTGATAGGACAAGCAATCCTTGATCCCACCGGCTGGGCCTTTGAACCTCCTCCTTCCATCTCCCCCGAAATTCCCCTGTCTAAGACGTAGTTTTTTTCTGGCTCCCTTGCGATTCTGTCTTACGCAGGTTTGACTGTATTGCTAATTTTAAAAGAAAAAAAAAATTACAAGGTATAGCATTCTGGCAGAACTGGAACAGTAATAATTTAAATCGGTAGTCTTTTACCGTCCCTCCCGTCTCACAATTAGCTACTAGCTACTAGAATTTTTAAGACTAGATGTCCATTTTAATATTGATTTGCTGAACACGACAATCGACTTCGTTTCCGTTGCAAATTATATGTAGTGTTTAAAATATTTGATGGTTTTCAACCAAAATATATCACACCAAGCCTAATTGCATAGTAATTTCCGCGCTTTGAACTAAGCAGGGGTTTCAGAGGGCATGCCCCCCCCCCCCTGTTTTAATCCATAGTTAAATGTTTTGCTGTTGTTAGGTTTGAAATTTTCTAGAAAATAATTGATTTGCGACAGTTCGAGTTGCAATAAATGTGTGATTTGCAGCAGAAAATAAGTCTGCGGTTTGACCACCAAAGCAATGCTTCTGTGTGCGGCAGTGAAAGTAAAAATTTACCTTTAAATTATTTAGTTTAATAGCCAATGAATGTGTTATAATGTCAGCATTTCTGCGAGTCTCATTTTGAATTTTGAATTAGAAATTTTTCCACTTCCATTCCATTCTTTCCTAGTTTTCAGTGAAACGAAATCTAGGTGGAGAACTCAGAATTAGAGTCAAAGTCTTGATATGTTATTTCTCTCTTTGTGTATTTATATAACCCCTTAAAATTAAATAAATTTGTTGTTAAAATTCGGATGCTATGCTGAGCTAATCCTTTGTTTTTAAATCTTTATATATCTCCGTTGGGGGGTAAACCCACTATGCCGAGGCCCCTTTTTGATACAAAATCTAAAAATGTCGAAAATGTCACTAAATTAGTCTTTAAATAAAAACAAATGAACCTATTTCGATTGTTCTTCGTCTAATTTATATGAAATCCTCATAAAAGATACCTGTTTTCGGCAATTGCCGAAAAGTAATTTGATGTTGAAGTCATTGTAAAGGAATGTTCCCAAGCCGCTGTCAGCAGCTCACCGACACACCAGTTATGACCGTGAGCCGCAAGGAGCGGCTTGCTGGAGATAAAGAGTTAATTCATTTTACACTATGTAAAATAAGCCTTTTGCCTCTTGTCTCCACCTTTGGTCTTTCTCATTCCATTACATCATCACTCAAGTTTAAAGTTCCTTTTGTGACTTGTCTTATGGGTCGCTTTGATACTTTTATCACTGCTAATGCTTACGAGCTGAAGTTTTTCAGTTAAAAGCTTGGTATTAATCTTTTGCCCTTTTTCGTCTGCAGATTTTGTGATCTTAGGGGTTCTGTGTTTCAAATAGAAGATGTGAAGATCAGAGAGGAAATGGAAATGGCTGGATGTGAAGTTTGCTGGACGTGTAGGGGACTGATTTTTGGAGACAGTTCTGGGATTATACCTGCCTTTGAACAACATGCTCTGATGTGTAGAGGGCCTGATGTTGAAGAGCATCAAACTTCTTTTGATTATTTTGTCTGTGACAAAGCTGATTATTTTGCTCTAAAGAATTTGAAGAAAAATTTTGCTAAGACCCAAAAGTCCATCAAAAGTAAACTGTGGGCCACATTGCCAAGTGAAGTGGTTGAGTGTATTTTTGATCTTTGCATCCCTGAGAATGGAAATGCTGAGAAGGAAAGCTCTAGTTATTTTCCCATGGACCAAAAGAGCAAATGCTCCCAAACTAAAATTTTCAGTGGCCCTGTGCTAATGAATCAAGACAATATTTCTACAGTAGATGTTACCATTTGTCAAAGTGAAAATGACAACACTGTACATTTTGAAAACCGCTCTAATATTTGCAATGGAAGTGGTGCCAATGGGAATGAAAAAATTCTGAAAAACCAGGAAGAGTCATTTCATGATCAACTTTGCATCAACACACACACTTTGTTGCTGAAAGAAGAAGAAGAAAAGTTGACTACTGAATGCATTTTGACAAAAGAAGGAAATTTCACTAATTACTGCTGCAAATTGTGCCAACATCAGACAAAATCTGACAGGCTTATGTTGCGACATTTGAACGCTCATGATAATGGCCAGGCATTCAAGTGTGTGAAGTGTGATTTCTCTACCATGTGGCGTTCAGAATGGAATCAGCACTGCAAGAAATGCTTGGACCAAAAAAGTTTCTTGTGCCAGTTTTGTGGGGAAGAATTCACCAGGAGGGACAAATTCAACAAACACTGTGCTTCAGCCCATTCAGGTCAGGAAGTAACTAAATCGTTATTAAGTTTTTAGAATGAGAATTGTTTCTTAGGCTTTGATTCAGTGCCAGTACCAATAAACTGCACTGATGCTAATTTGAAAATCTGTTGTTTGTGTAAAAGATAGAGTCATTTTCATGCTGCTTAGTTGTTTTCGATATAATCAATATGATAAGGGTGGCAGGCAGTGGTCAAATTTCATGTTTCTAGCTACCAAAGAAAGTTTCTGTATCGATGAAACACCTGACCTCTTTGAAGACAAGCAGTGGGAAAAGTTACCACCCTGACCATTTGCATTGCTCAGGGATCACATGGATGGGGTAACGGCTAGCACCACAGCCTTTCGTCCCTGTCTTTCCTAGTTGTATGACAAAGGTTAAAGCTAATGGTACCAAACTTGGGAATTTAATTTCAAGTTCCTGAAAAAGCATTTTCCATCTGTGATGGGTCAGAACCCTCCTAAGGGAAGAGATTTCTCTTTCCATATCTGGAGTGTGAAGGTTTCTGCTTTAGACAGATGTATTACATGTTTTGTGGAATTTATCTAGCAAACAGTCCGGAGATTCCATCATAACAGGGATCTGTCTTGGATTGGTTTCTATTTTATGACAAAAACTTGTTTACTAAAAAAAACAACTTCCCTTCATCATTCTCCTCTCTTCATAGCGCATTTGCATTAGAGCACTCTTTTCTTGTCATGAGAGGGGCATGCTAATAGCCAGAGACCACTGTAGTATAGACTTGCACTTTTGACTTTTGTGTAGATTGAAACTAAATTCCCAGAGGAATGTTGATACTGCTGTTTTACTAAAAGTCATAATTGCATCTCCTGGCTTGCGTCCCTGGGGTAGGTAAAAAAAGTACTGTAACTGTATCATTTGCCACAATGTGCTCCACTCTCAAATTTGTGGGTAGTTGGCGGATGCTCTGGTGTGGTTTGCTTCTTCTGTCCTATCAAACATGATCTATCGTCTTATCTCCCCTTTTTCTTTTTTTATGTTTGTTACTCTCTTGCAATACCTCTAATCTTCTGGCGCTTATATGACCTAATGCAGTTGCGAGCGCCATAAAACCTCTGCTAAAACAAATCTCAAATTTATATACATGATGTAACTTATCGCTCTCCATTTGTATGGTATTCTCAGATGGTGATCCCACTGCCTTACAGCTGAAAAACAAATTACAATGTGAACAATGCGACTACATTGGGAGAAGCCTCACCTGCCTGAAAGAGCATAAAAAGAAACATACCGGTAAGTATTGTGGTATGGACCATAGTTTAGTATTTCAGAATGCTCTTTATTAATAATTTGTGACTTCATCTTTGTCTTCAATTTGAACACCATTTTTCTCATAATTTTTTTTTTACATTGTTCATACAGACATTTGGCCAACAGCTATGAAATAGGCCAATCAGAGGCAATATTCTTTTTTTTATATAGAAAATTAAACTCATTTGAAACGGACAGAAATATAATAGAAACTTTCTACAACATTTGAAAGTTTAATTACTTTTGGTATATCATGTTTCAACAGCAATTGCATTTAGGCAGAGTTATATATATATATGGAAAGCAACAGAAGTTATTATTAGTTACTCCTCTCTTTCACTGAACGTTTAAACATCAGTATTGTGAAAGCAGCAAAGATCATTGCTGACACCAATCACCCATTAAATGCAGAATATCAGACATCAGTTAGAAGTCAGTGTTTTTTGGGTTTTTTTTTAAAAAGCAAAAACCAACAGGTTATAAAAGTTAATTCCCTGTCATGTCAAGTGTGAGAGAATAACACTATTTTGCATGTCCGTCTAATGAATGCTTGTGTGTGCGTATCTGTGTATGTAAACGTGTGTTTGTGGGAGAGAGAGTGTGAGAATGTTCAATGAGAGGAAGTGTGTGCGTTGACAAGTGCATTTACCTGTATTATGTATTCATCATACTGCAATAAATTTCTTTTTACACAGATCAATAAACTTGTATCTTCTATTATCCTATCTTATCTTATCTTTTCTAACTGACTGTTACTGTAAGGTAAATAAGGAAGAGCATAGCCTTGCTACCTGTTTCTTTATTTTGTGCCAGACTCTTGTTGACTTTCCTCTTCATGATGCACTGACGTTTTGTGACATTTCACATGTGTTGTTGTTTTTGTTGTTGTCCCAATTTCATCTGTACTACTTTATCAGAATTGTATGTTTTCAGCTGCTTATCTTCGTGTATCCTTAATGATCTAACATTGATAGGGGCGTAAAACTTACATTTACAAAAAAAAATTACCAAAATCAGCTGAAAACTTTAGAAAAGTCCCTGCATAGCCTATATGTACATTATGTACAAACAAAATTATTCAAGACAACCACCCATTAAAGAGGAGAAAAGTGATTGTTTTAGACAGGTGAATGTCATAGACCGTGTCTTTGTAATGTAAAAAAAAACGCAAATAGGGAAAAGTAAAGCTGGAAATCCATAGAGGCATGGAAACTGAACGGCAGTGGAACAGTACAGATTGCTCAAACAGTTATAATGTCATTGTCTGAATCCATTAGTATGGAGCGGCTGCGGGATGGCAGCAGCAGTTCTGCGGTACCGCAGCGGCACTTTTTTAATGGGACACAGAAGCTATTTTGCTACTGCTGCAGAGAAAATGTGGGTGTGGCGCCTAATTATTCCCACGAAAATGCCATGTTGCATTGTGGGCGCTCTTGTTTCACGAACCTATAGTGCGGTCAAAAATTCGTGGCGCAACTTATTGTCAAATATTTCCTAAACTATAGACTTTCCAGATTTTGCACACTCCCCTGTATCAATTTGTCTTAACAGATCAATATTTTTGTAAACACCTGTTAACTGTATTCTAGAAAATTCTTTAAAAAATACATGTACTAATAAAAAAATCCAAGTGGGTGGTTTCTACAGATTTTACAAGGTTTATAGCTGCGGCAACATCGCTTCTAAAAGTATGTGCGTGATGTTTTTTTTTTATCGCGACACTATCTTTATTGAACACATGTTTTGAGAAACTTTAGTGCAAAAAATGTGTTCTCTATAAAATTGATTTCTTGTAACAAGTTTTGCCACTAAAAAGTGCCATTGATTAGCTGTGACGTAGGCTATATATATATATGTGTGTGTATGCAAAATGTGTGTAAGAAGCGGGAGGTGCTGTTAACAATCCCATGATTTATAGTATTTTAAATAAATCTATGAAGAAAAGTTTTTTTAATCTAGTCCCGATTGTTGTGGAAAAATAAAAATGTTTAAGTTAAGACAAACTGATACAAACAGATGTACGAAGTATGGATGGCGTTGATTCACCCGTTTAATTTAAAAGAAATATTTGAGGATAAGTTGCACCACAAATTTTTTTTATCGCACTCTAGACAGTTGTGACTGGGTAGGTGCCTTGCTGCTACTGCATTGAAAAAAAACCCCCAAAAAGGCGCAAACGTGCTGTGCTGTATACCCACCATGTCTATGGATTCAAACATTGAAGTTGCCACTTGGGATACCGCACATTTCATCCCGGTGTCGTTCTGTTTCTGTGCCTATGGTTTTCCGGCTTAAAGCGGACGTTAGTACAGTAGGTGATTTTCTTGGATAAGTGGCCGTTAAGAGGAGGGTTGACAGTATAAATAATTGTATTTGTAGGCCTATGTGATTGTTTTTATACTTAAGTTTCATATTTTTAATTGAAAATCTTGTTTGAGTATTGGTTGTTTGTTGATTTTTCCGAACATTCAGCTCTTATAGCCAATCTGATTATTTGAGATCTACTGTTTGGCTTTTATATGTTGATACAATGTACCAGTACCCTGATACTTTAGACCCTCCAAATCTTTTTTGTGGGTGGTTTCCGGGTACTCTGGTGTGGTTTGCTCCTTTCCTATCAAACATCTTTCAACTTAATCTCTCCTATTCCTATTTTCTTTGCACGTTACTCTCTGTTAACATCTCTAATCTTTGGCTCTTTTTTTATCTATTGGTGTTGCAAGCGCCATAAACTCTTACTAAAGCTAAAAGTCAACCTTTTTTTAAAGAAAGAAATATCAATCCTGTTGGATTTATTAACATTTTAAAACGAAAATTATAGTGCATTTTCTACTTTCCCCCATCAGCTTTCAGTTGATAGTTGTTTTTGATGTGGTTATGTTTATTTATATTGTATGACATACAATGATTGATTATATTATTATCACTGAGAAGCTTTCTGTCAGTTCATATTTGTCACTTTGCTTGGCCCTATTCATACATATATATATAATATATTGTATGCTTGTGTTTATGTGTTGCTCTGAAACTGAAATTTGTTTATCATTAAATTTGTAAGCTGAATAATATCTTTATTTCTCAATCCTTTTCAGGAGAGATGATCTTCTGTCCACATGAGGGCTGTGACTTCAAATCCTTTTATCGCCGATCTCTCACAAAACACCTGAACCAGAAACACGCCAAGGAGAAGAATCTTATTTGCTCTGTGTGTGGCTTTCAGACCCGGCACATGTCTTCTCTGACAAAGCACATGAAGTTGCATCGCAGCTTAAAGAAATTTAAATGTGTTCAGTGCACTTTCACAGCATTCACGTCTTCACAAGTACTTGATCATGTCCGGAGAAAGCATCTGAAAGAGAAACTTTACTCTTGCCCAAAATGTCCTTTTCAGACAGGGTACCCTATGGGCATAAAGAAACATATTCAGCGTCATGAAGGGGTCTTCGGGTATTCTTGTTCTATATGTGGGGAATCAGTTGGAACAATGAGGAAAGCTAAAGAGCATATGGTACATAGACATGGCTGTACTGACTACAGGGTTTTGAATGAGAGTATTGAGAAAATAAAACCTCGAGATTACCAGATCAAAAACAGGGAAAACATTATAAAGGAACCCATGAAGTATGTTGTTATGATTACTAATGAGCAGGTTTCAAATGACACCTTGGATATGGAAATACTGGATGTTGATTTGAATTCTAATGATGTTCTTGAAATGGCCACTGATATACTCAGTGGAGAGTCCCAACAGATTTCGAGTTCAGAGGGATTGTTGGATCCTACACTGCATGCAAACCCAACATCTATGAATCATGTCAAGGAATTATTCGAAAGCCAAACATCTTCTGAGAAAGGGAGAAACCCAATGCTTTCTGCCACATCTAATGATCTCGGAGATGCTGAAAATTCTCTAATAGAAGACTCTCTGTTTGACCTCATGACTGATTTCCCTCGTCCATCTAATCTGAACCGTTGCCAGTCTGCAAGCACTTTAATGTTTACGTCTTTCTCACCTCACCTGGTGGACAGACCTTTAACTCCTGACTTCTTCAGTGACAGCCCATCAGCTGGTTCTTTTTTCCCCAACTTCACTTCCAAGGCTTTGGAGACAGACACCTTACCCCTTGGGCACTTGAGCAGCTTTGATGGGTCTCATCAAGAACAACATGCTGATTCTAATTCCAGGGTTTTAACCAAAGCGGCCAATCCACCTTCACCAATACTGTCAAATTTCATGACATCTTCTATTGCTACAAATTCAAACTCGTTGCACCCTGTTGTGAATATGTCTGAAGCTTTACTGCAGACTTCAGTTTGTGAAAACTTGGACTCCATCTTACCCAGTGCTGTATTTGGTACTCCCTGCCCACCGCAGAAAATGCATGGATCACAAATATCCTTTTCGTCAAGCAGTTCGGCTTTTACAGCACTCACTGACGAGTACTCTACAGATCTGCAAAACGCTGTAGCTTCCATTGCAGAGGCCACTGCCTTAGAAGACCAAGTGGAAGCTGATGCTAATGATGAATCTCCTTTTCCATTGAATTCTGTAATGTGAAATAGGTTTTATTTTGCCAGGATGTTGAACTTATATATATGTAACATGTCACACTCAAATATAAACATTTAAAAAACAGCTTACATGTATCTCTGTTAGATCTGAATTTGTCACTGATTTTACAAGAAACTGTACCTATTATGTGGAACGAGTATTGTTAAGGTGTTTTTTATTTTGCTGTTCTTATAGCTGAATTTATCGACTTGGAATTTCTTTGGTGAGTGAGTTTTCTGTTTTTCAGATCTTTTAGTTTGACATTAGGAGTTCAATGTAAAACTTAAGAAATTTATTTTTATTGAAGTTTGTTACGGGTACCTTATACTAGTGCTGAAAAAAATCTTTAACTCTTATTCTTTTCATCCAGACTAAGGTTTTCTCATGCATGCTCTGATACGACTTATAGCAGAATTTGCTTACTGTACTTTGTTCTGTCTATCCGTTCTGTCAACTACAGTTTGAGTTCACTTTGTTCTATCCCTTTCAAAATAAGCTTAAAAGGACTCAACTTCCTTCCATATCTTACTCTGGTGGCCTCTCATCCCTTTTTTGTACTGTAGACCTACCCAGCAGTTTTATCTTGGTAAGCCCTGTGATCCTGTGATGAGCCAATATCATTATAATTTTTATCACTTCATTGTTATCAGGAAGTCTAGTATAACATGGATAGCTTGAATTTGTCGGGACCGGCCTAGTTAGTTTGAGGGATATTTTACAAAGATAAAGAAGAACAACGGGACTGCAGGCACCGTTCGATGGATGCATGATTTCAAGTCTTCTGTGTTCGACCTATCCATGTTATACTGTATTGGCTCCTTACTTGATCCGCCTGCGTTTTTTTGTCTTCATCATCCGTGGTAATATATGGTCTTTTGAGGATGTGTTCAAATTACTGGAAAGCATCTCATCTTAAGCTGAAGTATGTTGCTGTCAATATTCAAATATTCAAACTATGGGTGACCACCATGGAAATAAGAATCTTGTAACGTATTAAGTTCCTCACCACATCAAAAGGAAATTACTACGTATTTATTTTATTTAAGTGAGTACAATTTTTGAAAATACTGGCAAGCCTCATCAAAATCCAAGAGATAGGTCTAGTAAAAGGATAAAAGCACTTTGAAATACGATTTTTAGATTCCTGATCATCTAGTGCAGCAGCTTTGGGGCCAGCACATTTTGTTAGTGTTCGTTGGCATTACACTCGGTACACAATGTATGAATAAAGTGATTTGAAGACATGAAGTAGAGCTTTTTTTCACTTGCAAAAAATAAATAGATTGTACCCACCTTTGCATGGAAAAACAAGATTGGGGTGTGGAGGGAGAAGTATTGGGCTTTTCTTGTTCAATTTTTGAAATTATTCACTCATGTTTCAGAGAAAAAAAAGTTCAACACTTCTGAAACCTGGGCTTTTTTATGCTTGATACATGTGTATATTGATATGCATGTATACACATGTAATTCATTTTAACTTTACTTTAAAAGTAAATCTGTCCAGAACTCTGTCTGTAGTATATATACAGGGATGCCACTTTTCCGCTTTTTTCCGACATTTCCTGTATTTTGATTCTGATCCGCTATTCCGTATTGAGATGGAGATAGAATCTATAGTTGGAAAAAAACAACCCAACCCCCCCTCCCCCCCCACACACATTTCTCTCTATGTACACCTATTGCTTATATTTGTTTGTTTGTCATTTCTCTCTATGTACTCCCTTTGGGTTTCAAACTAATATGTTTGCGAGACAGTGGCGCGTGGATTTTCAGCTATTTTCAAAAAAGCTGAGTGGCATCCCTGATATATAACTAGTACACCTTATGTATAGCCAACAGCATATCAACAGCTTAAAATAAAGTAAAACTCCACCAAACGCCATTTTGAAAAGTGACATATATTATATGACTCATAACAGAGTCTTAGTCTTACCTTACCCAGAGTAGTCGGTATGGAATGAGATGCTTGATAGTGGGCCATGACAATGGTGTCGTCAGTGGTTTGCGCGAAGTCCTTGCTGCTTTTCAATAAAATGTGCTCTGTTTTTGTATAAAAGTTGCGTGTTGCATCTGTTTGTTTTTTAAATCCAAGACGCACATAAATAGTTCCCTTTCTTATACAGAACTCCTGGAAATCTTCACCAAGCATGGAGGGAAGTGCCCAGCTGGTGGATCCTGTTTTTCGTCTCTTCCTTTGTTGCTTCTTCAAATAATTGTTCTTTTCGATTTTCTGCTCGTCAGCTGTATAACCTATTTGTTACTTGTTTGGTATTTTTACTTACAATAACTTACATACTGATTGTATGTGCACCCATTTGCACAATCAGGATAAGAGGCATGCTATTTCAACTCCTCAACTTTGCGTGTCAGGGCCAAACCAGGCTGAGTTGGATACTTCGTCCCAGCACACAGACGGAGGAACTCGATAAAATGACTTCCCTACTGGAGATTCAAACTCACATCATTTGCATACAACAGCAAAGAGCCTAGTTATTATACTACAGATGCTGTAGATTCTACTCAACAACAGGAAAACTATATTAAGACTACAGACAGAGCTGCAACCTATGAGCCTTGCAGGTTCAGAGGAAGGGATGTTTGGTTATGCCGCGAAGTGTAGCCCAACTTAGGTTACCTGTAGGGTGGTTACCTTTTGTGGAGTACATAGGTCTATAGCCCAAATAAGGTCACCCGTTTAACTAAATGTGAGTGTGAGGTGTGCTGACAAAATGAGTTACTTCTCACAATCCACGAATGAAGACATGGGCCAAAAATCGACATTAAAATTAGGGTCAAATTTGTAGATTTTCTATTATTGATGCCATGTAATCATTTCATAATTTATAAATTGTAAAAACTTTACTTATCTATAAATAAGCGTGATGTATTTCCTTAAGGCTTAAATGCTAGAAGTAACTCATTTTGTCAGCACGCTTCACAAACAGTACCAGTCAGTAATACATTGTACTTGTAGATTAATTTGAAGGTAAAGCTCATATTGTGTGAGTGTGAGGAACAAGAAGGCAATGTAGTAGATGAGCCAAGGATCTTTCTCAGTCTTAATACTCTGACAATTTAATGGAATGATATTCTTAGAAGAAGAAAAAACAACGGTAAATTTTTACTTTCACTCCTGCACACAGATGCACTGCTTCGGGGCTCAAACTGCAGTACTGTTTGCTGTAGATCACACATAAAGTCACTACAACTGTCGCAAATCGATTATTTTTAAGATTTTCTTTTACTCCACGGGAGCAGGCCCCCTGGAACCCCCCGATTGTTCCAAAGCATGTCTATCTCTATTAAGAACTATCAAATATTTAAAAAACTATTAATTTGCTACGGAAATGAAGTTGATATTCGTGTCCAGCGCATCAATATTCAGTAGAAAATGGACAACTGGTAGCTTTGTGCGAGACGGGAGGGAAAGTAAAAAAATACCAAAATAACAGTGATGAAACAAACCTTCTGATTTTTACACACATAAACAGAAATCTGTTACCTGTACATCAAGGAGTGAAAAATCAAGCCACTGACTACTGCGGCACATTAGATTATAAACTTGATCTATCACACAATCAATATCGTCATCCAATATGTGTGGAAGCTCAAGGTTCAAACTTGACAGGGACCCAGACAACTTTTTCATCCTTCCAGGAAAAGTTAATGTTTCTTCTTCAGTGTCAAAAGGGGGCCCAACTGTAGCCCTTAAGTAACATTTACAAACATAAGAATCCAAATACTCTAGTACCGGCACCGGCAATGTTGTAGATGAACACCCAAGAGTGGACAAATTTTAAAACAGAACACAGATCTTTTGAAATTCATACACTTGTTTATTGTCTTTTCAATGAATTTTAATTAAAGCAATCAGATTTGACTTGCTAGCAACCTCTAAGGTGGATATGGGTGGAGTGGCAGAAGTAATATAAAACTTTGTTGTGTTTGCAACGATAGTCTCTGCTTGAAAGATACACTGTGGGGGAGGACTCAAAAACTCAAAGCTGGTAAGCTTTCATGGACACTTGTTAAAGTCAAGAAAATGAATGTTGGTACTTCCCTTGAGTCTCACATTTAACTTCCCTAGATTTACTCAAGCACTGTTGTGATGGTTTCCCTTGGAAAGCATAAGCAGCGTTTTTTTCACACGTGCTGCTTTACACGTTTTGGTTGTTTGTTTTCTTTTCTTTTTAATCCCTCAGGAAAGAGGTACCGTTCCTATGGGAGTAAAAGAAAAAGCCCCAACTACTCAGTGCAACAGGCCTTGGAGATCTAAAAATATGGATTGTTACAGGCTCATATACTCATAGAGTAACAATATGTCACGACGTGGTGGAACCAGGCGCTCGTCAATTTTTGGGCATGTGGAGTTATTGATATCATCTGAAAGCTCTATTCATTTGTCTTGCTCTCAATGAAAAAAAATATCCATCTATAGCTCGAATAGAAATCGAGCTATTTGGATTGAAGGTGGGAAAGCCTGGTTTCAGAGGTAAAATTAGTGAGAAAATGGCCAACAGAGTTGATTTATTTCCTTAGCTTGAGAGTTCGTGGAAACAGAAAATGTACATCTTTTATACCTTTAATCAAAATTTTTCAGTAAAATCTTAATGGGCATGAAAGATGTTGAGCCAAAAAACAAAATTTTGGCAAAATTCAAAAATCTGCGGAAAAATGTCAGTTTCTTCACTTTCCTTATATTTTGACGAGCGCTTGATTCCATCACGCTGCCTCATATATGTCCAATCACCTATCACTGGAAACAACCACACTTTCAGATTAACTGAAAAGAACAGTGAAATGGAAATAAGTTTTACATAGTATAGGTTTGTGGTTCTACATACATAATGTATCCAGCTGTCAAGATAAGCCCTTTCTATTATAATACAAATGTGAGGCCAAACCTTGGTGATTGTTTACTTTGTCCAGTTTCAGGTTTTCCAGAACATACATAATTACACGATACCTGTACGGTATATTCATAAAGAACAAGTCATGACAAAAGCCTGTGATTAAGCAGTGTATTCTAAAACAATACGCACTTAAGAGACTACGACTCTTTGAAAAGTAATGTAATATCATGCATGACCACACTCGTACTTTCCTGAAAAACATTCAAATACAGTCCGTGCCGGCTATAAGCACGCCGGCATAAAGCACCATTCGGATTCAAGCACGCTAAACGGTTCTTACCGAATTTTTGCTTTTTCAATTACACGCCTTTAAACACTGTAACTTTGGCTTCGGGCACGCTTCATTTACAAGACAGTCAATACTTTCATGATGACCCATCGAAGTTCAAACACAGTCTACACCGCAGCAGTAAGTATTAAGAGAAACGCAAAACACAATTGATGGACACACACATGCAGAGAAGGCAGAGAGATGCACACAGCCGCGCGCTTGGACATGGGATCTAGCCTAGGGTAAAGCTGCACACAAGACGAAAAAAACCCAAAGAGAGTCGGGGAGACGAGAAAGGGAGGCTGGCTGTGACTTCACCTTTGACCCTCGCTATCCGATAATCTGAGGTGGGATGAAGGCGGTGGTATGAAGGTGGCACAGCGGGCAGCAGTACGCACAGGCAATGTGTAGGCCTAGTGTGCTGTACCGTGGCTGGCCGTCTAAATTAAGCGTTCCTTTCCCTTTCGACCAAAGATACTCCACTACTTTGATTCGACCACAAAACGAAACAAACAAAAACTACCATGGCGGGTAAAAATGACAGCGCACACTTTTGTGCGACCACTACTTATGAACAAAGGGTAATAACTCAGGTAATTTTCCACTTAAAAATCCTGGATTATGAACAATGTCTACTTCGCACTCTCCCGATGACCGTGCTTAAAGCCGGCATGGACTGTACAAAAATCAGCTGCACTCACCAAGTCATTGTCTGTTATTTATAACAAATGAAAATACATTATGTCTGCTACACTCGTTCACCAACCAGTTGTTTCTTTTGTCACATCAATCACATAAACATTATCATTGAACATATCAGCTGGAGTGACTGAGAATGTGCATTCTCTTGTTACATCATAATAGTACAATAACAATACAATATAATCAGTAACAACAAGAGAAGGGCAGTGACAGCAATGATTTCTTCATCCCAGTGCAACTGTTTATGAACATCAAGATTTTTTTTCATTCGTCTTTATCATGGTTGGAAAGTCTTACAAAAATCAGCTTGTTTGAAAAACAATTTTTCGTTTTTTGATGTCTTTAAGTATGATTTAAAATTAAAACTGTCACAAACATAATATAGAACAGGTAGACTGGGGGAGGGGGGGGGGGGGGGAGGGGAAGAATGAAACAAAAGAGAACAAATTTTTTTTTTCAGTTGAGGTAACTTTTTGAGCAGAAACTTCTTGTTACACTCTAGAAAACACTAAGGAAAGTTGATGTACATGACCGTACTGTACTTATTTATGTTATTGTTATATTTTGTACCCCATCAGTAGGTACAAGATATATTTCTAACAGCCAAAGTCAAACAAATTACACTCTGGCCAAAGAGAAAGGCTAAAGCTTAAAAATGGTTGGGTTTTTTTTTTCCACTTAATTACTTAATTCAAGTTTTAAACCAGGGACCCTGAACAGTACCTCAGAACAAGTACAACTAGCAGATTACTTTTTGCTTTTTAAGAATACTTCTACAAATGTAACCGGTATAAACGTGCATGCCATTCAAAAAACAGAAAAAAAAACAACAACCCTAAAGCAAAATGCAACAATTCAGGAAAATGCTGAAGGCACAAATAATTTGACCAAAATATACTATTAGTACTATAGAACCAAAAATAAGAAAAATCCCACAATAAATAATGACATACCATATCACTAATGGTTGAAAAAAAAAGTTTTGAGAAAAATAAAAAACAAAATGGAATTAAAGATCATCTCTGGAAAGTGGTGAGTAGACTGCAACCTTCTCAAGATGGTTCTTGAATTTTCCCGTAACACTAGAAACTGCAATAAAAAAAAAAGACAATTTGCAAAGATTCATTTTATTATAACAGCGAGAACTGTGCAGCTGAAAGTACCAGGCATAGAATGAAATGAAACAAATTCTGTTCACGGGGGGGGGGGGGGGGGGGGGGAAAGGAGAGAAAAAAGATAATAATAGTGGTGTGTGGACAGCAATCATGTCACTGACCAGCTGTTTGAATATGTACTTAGATAACAGTTTTGAAAAAATTTCTTTGGCATTGCAGTATTCTGTGGTACTGGCTACATGAGCAGGAGAAATATTTTGTCAAAATTCAAATTCTAAAAGTTGAAAAAAGCATGATAAGATACACAACTTAGACAATAGTTATATGAATGAAACAAGTATTTCTTTTCTCTCGCCGGAAAAACTTTGCTTTCTGGGCTTAGGACATTTTAACAGTCTGCTGAAGATACATTTTCTGAATGAGAAAAGAAGGTGCTATAAATTATAAAACTGCTAACTGCAAATCATCAGCGCCCTGATGGAACCTTGTTAACTCGAACTTTTGTGAAAATCGTTCTTTTAACACCAAAATATTCCTGATACCTTGCTACAAAATGTATATATTAAATCCAGATTCAAACTAGAAATGCCCGAAAGCACTTTAATTGACAATACTGTCATCTTTTCCGTCTGCTCTGTGCGACTATTTGGCATATTAAGTAAGCTGACAATGTCGAACAAAAAGTGCAATATCTACAGCCAGCAGCTCAAACTGCATTAAATGAAACTGAAAGAGGAAAAACGGAAGATGTGGGAAAAAAAAAACTTTCAGAAAGTTAAATTTGACGCATTTCCAACTCTACACTATTGACAATCATTCCTATATGAGCAACTTCTCTGAACCAAAAACACGGCTAAAACCAAAGATCTGACAGTCCCAAAGATTTCAGTTTAAGCAGACTTTACTGTATACTTTTTGCCCTGCCATCAATTGTCTCAGCAGTAAGGTCCATTCTAATATAATGTAAATTTGCTTTGCAACACAGCCAGCAGATTGGCTGCCAGAGGTACACACTACACCAACTCAGCTGCTGCACAGTGATAATCTCCTTTTCTTCTGACTCAGCGAGCTAGCAATTGCCACAAGCAGGATGTACGTCTTAGGCTATTGCATCAAGTTGTAGACACAAAGGAAAATAAATAATTATAACAGTGTTCTTCATCTAGTTATGGCAGAATCATTTCCTTTGACATTAGGCAGTCAGTGCTATTCAATCCCATCGTGTCGCAGGGTCAATTTGCGCTTCACTGAGGAGAAAGGGTAGAGCTAACCCTAGACTTACAGGTCGATTGCCTAGATCTGGTTTGTAATTTTGTGCAACGGACTGTTGAAAAGCAAAAGATTGCTTTGTATGGAAAAAATCTCAGGACTTGAATTTGCAATGAGTTTTATTTGGTGCATCTCTAATAGAAGCAGAAGGCAGAATACAAGTTAGGATAACTGTGTTCGTTACTATGGTCCTCGCTCTTCACAAGGCATGACAAACATCGCTCATCACAGCAGCATCTTGCCTCCTTCACCACATAAGAAAAGAATGACGAAAAGTGTATCATAATAAAGGTCATGAAGGCCTGACACTGTGTCCTTGGGAGAGGCAGTTTACACAAATTTTCCCTACTTAACCTTGGTGTACCTACCTGGCTACAGACAGCGAAAGCAAGCTGTAGAGTGTGGATGTGCGCTATATAAAATGCAATCATTATTAATATTATTAAGGAATACTTGCATAATTGTTACACATACCTGATGTCTTCTCCCTTTTATATTCCTCTGCTTCAAGGGCTTTGTTATCTCTTTGAGAATTCTGAAACGGTAAAAAAAGAATGCATCAGTTTATCTACATCATATGTATATGAGCCTTTGACAATAGGTGGGGGGTTTCATCACATACCTTACAAAACCCTTTCCTCTTCCAATAAAAATGACGATACAGTTTTGAAATTTGTACATATATTGTGCTTTATATGATGTTTCAGCTATGGGAGCACAGAAATAGCAGTCGGGCCATGAGAAGAAATCTTACAAATATTTTTAGTTCTGAAATCGATGTGAATGCAAAACGTGACACGCCAAGTTCGTACTTTTTCTGTTGTCAAGTTCAACAATGAAAAAATTACAGAGAAACTCGTCCTTCACACTTTTACCACTATAACTACATTATTAGTGGTGCTATATCAGGAATAATGATATCTGTAGAGATTTTTTCTTTGAGAGCCTTCAAGATTTTCATTTTCGAGCATAACGTGTTGTCATTTCACAATTCAACTTCGATTCCCCGTGGCTTCGTTTCTATCGGCCATTTTAAAGCCTGGAACAAGCATAATATTGTTCAATGTTTACTCTCTGCCCTAACCGATTCCGAGGCTGTGACCGTGCAAAATTTTGCAGAAAACGGAAATCCCGGGACGCCTTGTGCTCTGTCATCATTTGTAATGTTCGAAAGAACCAATCGGAAAACGAGAAATAATAAGGGTAGAGGAACGTGCATTGTTCCTGTCGATCCATTCAAAGCGTATTGTTGTGCGATGTAAGAAGGCGAGAAGAATTACGATAGATGAGACGAATCCATTTTTAAGTTTTCTTATGTCGTCATCGAATCTAAACATGTTATATTCCAAAATTTAAACCTAGTAATGATTAACATCGCACTGCATTCCAATGGTCAAGTAGTGGTAGATCTACATGCTACCACGCATGCTTGGCTAGATGTCAACGAGAGGGGAAAATTTGATGTAAATACATGATATGTTCCAAAATGGCGACAATCATTTATCCACTATGACGACTATGTGTCATCGTGGCTATGTTCAAAAGATATTTGGTATTTTGCATAGACTCATCGTAAAATGTGAATTAAGTTGCATTCTTTCACCATTAGCATGCATTATGAGTCAAACTGAATCTCCTGAATTTTTGTTCGCCAAAATTTCCCAAAAATGAATTAAAATATGAAAAAGGAAAGTTTTTCCATTTTTTTTGGACATAACTAAGATGGCACAAAGGCGAACACAAAGACATTCAGATTTTTTTTTTCTCTGTTATTTTATATCCTCTTCATGCTTATGTTTGAAAATTAAAGCAATGAGAAAACTATTAATATTAAAATAATTTTATGTACCGTAAATTACTTTTCAGGGTATTTTTCATTTTGTGTCATCATGGTTATGTTTGAAGGATTTATTAGACATTTTGCAGAGATTCATAGTAAAATGTGAATAAAGTGGCATTTTTTCATCATTTGCATTGTGAGTCAAACTAGATCTTCTGAATCATTGTTTGCCCAAATATACATAAAAGAAATTAAGATATGAAAACGTAAAGTTTTTCATTTCTTTCGGACATAACTATGATGACACAAACGCAAACACAACGGCATTCAGAATTTCTAGTTTCTCTAATCCTCACCATTTTATATGCTCTTCATGCTTATGTTTGAAAATTAAAGCAATAAGAAAACTGTTAAAATAAATTTGTTTATGTACAAATTCTAAAAAATGTGTCATCATAGTTATGTCAGAAAGAATTTGACTGGACGTTATATATGTGAGGCAGCGTGGTGAAATCAGGCTCTCGTTAATTTTTGGGCATGTAGAGTTATTGGTATCATCTTAAAGCTTGTTCACTGGTCTTTATTTGGATGAAAAAAATATCCATTTAAATTGAATACAAGTCGAGATATTTGCGAATGAAAGAGGTGGCGGTCACCTGTTTTCAGAGGTAAAATTAATGAGAAAATGGCCGCTAAAGATGAGTTATTTCCTTAGCTTAAGAGTCCGTGGTAGCTGAAAATTTTCATTTTTTGTGCCTTTAATCAACGTTTTTCAGAAAAATCCAAACAGAAATGAGTTCTTAAATGGACATGAAAGGTGTTGAGCCAAAAAACAAAAAAATTATAAAAATACTCAAACCAGCAGAAAAATGCCAGTTTCTTCACTTTGATTATTTTGACGAGAGCCTGATTCCACCACGCTGCCTCACATATGTTTTTGTTGGAGGAGATATATATAAATAGAAAAATTCAAGTAAAATCGTCTCTTTTCTTGCTTATGTGAACATTTTCCAGTACAGAAAGAACAGAAACCTGGAAAAACACTTGGAAAAAATATGACATAGATTTTTAACGCACAAATGGAGACAAAGACAGAATAAATCCATCATCACTGTCATCATCTCCCTAGCTTTTCCAAAAATGTCATTAAAAAACAAAAAACAACAAAACCCAACAAGTCAAGCACATTGGTGATTAGGTTTTACAAAAGTAACTGCACTTCTTAGTTTGCGGATATTCGAAACAAATAAAAATTTTAAAATGCAGAAAAACAGTGTTGGTATAATAAACACCTTCAAGTCCACTTCAGTAATTGACACCATGGGACCTGTCAGTTCTACTTCGAATTCCTCAAAGAAGAGATAAGATGATGAACCTCCTCTCTCAATAGAGCACATCACAGCAGTCCCTCCATCCAAAAGCTCAAGACTAAGTTGCCATTCCTGAAACACAAAAATAAAGTTACTATTATGCAAACAACCAAATATTTATATAAAGTACCGGTACAGTGGAAACCTGCTTTACTGCTATATCAGGGATGGTGGGACCAGAGAAAAAGTCCTGTTATATCAGATCCCTGTTAAATCAGGAATGCAAGGGAAGTAAGCATTTGTGGACTAATCCAGCAGTACTTATTCATGGGTAGTTTCCCATGGCCTGCACATGACACATTACGCGTGCGTGCAGTGGGCCATGTAGCTAGCCTTTGAGCTAGATCGAAGTCTGCAGCACATCACAGCCTTCTCTCGCGTCACCCGCTGCGTGTGCTTGCAGTGGTGTGGTTTGCGTGGGCTTACTCCATCACTGCGTTACTCTCTCTCTCTCTCCCTCCCCCCTCTCTCTCTCTCTCTTACTTTTTACACATTGTTAACGAGCCTTTGTCCCTGCTATAACCGATTGGGCCCCAATTTGCCCTGTTATTGCCGACAACTTGTAATAGAGACAAAGAGTAGGAAAAAATTATTACCGGGCCTGTTATATATGGTTTCCACTGTATATAATATATAAAGGGACCATTCTTATAACAGCTAGAGAACCTCTTTTCTTCTTTTCATGACAAACAACACAGACTGGCAATTTGTTATTATACTCAATTCCCCTGAAGGAACAGAACGTCTACACCTGAACCTACTTACAACTTACAGTGACAACTGAGACTTACACCACTGCATGCTGAGGCCTTTGTTCAGTGCAAAAGGGTATAACAATGGCATCAAAAAGAACCTTGAAAATGTATTCACCCAATCATCTTGCTAAATCATGCAGCATACCAACTTAAAGCTAAATAAATTCTACCTCATATGACACATTAATTTTTCATCTACCACAGGAGTCACCTGAGATATCACTCAAAACTGACCTTAATACTTTGCCATCATAAGGTTCATATAGTAAAAACCCTTGCCATTAAAGGCAAAGGCATTTTGGGGAAAATCCAAAGAAACTGGGAGGTAAACATTGCCCATCAGCATGTGACGGCAAAGTGTTAATAAATCATGCTTGGCAAAATTGTGGGAAATCAAAGAAGCGTAAACGTGTGTTTGCGCTTAGGTTTGAGTGCATTAAAATTGGTGGAATGGATATCTATTACATATCAAATGACTGGAGAATATTATAATAGTCTCTACAATAAACTATGTTCTATTAAGATATTTTCAGACAGATGGGAATACAGAGAAGTCACAAATACCCCTTAAAACTTGGACGTAACATTACATGAGCTCATTAGTAAATTTTGTCTACGAGCCTTTGGTTTTGTGCAGGCCAGAGCACCAACCTTTTTGAGCATGGTCAGTGATAGTTCGATTTTGGACATAATCATCTATCATTAAGGAACAGTGGCAACGAAACTGCTATGGTTTGGGGTGGCCTGACCAGAATGAACAAATCCCCTCTCGTGAGAATCAATGGAAGCTTCGTTCTGAAGATTGCATCGCACAATTGCTGGAATGTCATGGCCTATCCTTATTTCCGTCATGGTGTCATTAAAGTAGACATCTTATTCTTAACACAAGACAAAGCACCTTCTCACAGGGCCAACACTTTTAGACAACGCTTGGAAAAGCAAATCATGCTGAAGACAGAGAGGTCATTACTAAAGAGCCCCGATATGAATCCTATGCGGAGTCCCATAAAACAGCGGCTGAAGAAACGTGACTTTGCTGCCAGTTCAGACACTTTGTTTGCTACTCTCTGTGACATTTGAGATGAAATAACAGATAATTTTGTTCAAAATTTAACACAGCCCATGTCTACAGGGTTCGCACTCTTCACAAAGCCATTGTCTCCGAGACAAAATATTAATGAGCACATATAATGTTTTTAGTCCAAGTGTTGCATGGTATTTAGTAACTACACTGTTTTCTAATCTGTTTTAAATTATAGTAATACAATATCGTTTTTTGCCAACAAAAAAGTTATCCAGGCATTTGACATGCAACACATGTCCATTCTTGCATCTCAGACTTGCATGAACAGGATCCATGTTTTCTTGAACAAGTGTAGTATAAGGAAATTATTGAGGATCGGATGGACAGACTGGGTCACTATCAAGGAAGTTTTAAGGAAAACAAAATAGAGCCAGGTCAGAGATGAGTTGGGGAGAAGGCGGTGGCAATGGAAAGTCAGGTAGCAGTATAACAAGGAAAGTGTTGAATTGAAACCCACAGGGTAAAAGATAATGGGGAAGACCATGTGGAACCTAGAGAAGAGTAACAGAAATCAAAGGGTTTGTTTGTGGCCTATACCCTGACCCAAGGTGAGAAAGGCAATGATGATGATGCTGACAGGTCATTTCCACCAATGTCAATACGCTCCAATACAAGGGCGAAGACACTGTTACATTTCTTTGATTTCACACAACTTTGCCAAGCATTATTTTTTAAGGTCAACTTTGAGAGACCATATCTCAGACGACTCCTGTTGTAGATGGAAAATTACTATCATATTGTAAAATTTACTTAGCTTTAAATTGGTATGCTGCATCAGTGGGTAGTGCAAATGCGGTTAACATGGTAACAAATTTTAAATTACGAAAATATGATTCATGACCATCAGACTATTCTAACAATAGGCACTACAAGTTCTACAAAACAGATGAAATATTTAGAAAACAAAGACTTATTGAATGATACTGAACTGAAAACAAAATACAGGTCCTATATATAATAAATGCCTTACACACCTCATGTGTTCCGCCTTGAGCAGCATAGGAGAATTTGCACTGATATTTTTTCTGAAAAAGAATAGATCAGTGCAGTATAATTTTCAGTCAAAAGAACAAGATAGAACTTGATATTGAGTAGAATACTACAATTTCACATTTTGACGTGCAACATGATACTTTTATAGTAGTACCCATCAGCTAAGCATCATTAAATTGGTGTTGGTTAAGGGGGGGGTGGGGGTTCCCACGAGCGAGTTAACTCCTATATTTCTGGACCTAGAAACCTTAAATTTGGTATACAACTTTGTCATAATACAGGTATTACCATGAGAAAATTTTTTTCACGGATCCAAGATGGCCGCCATTTTTATGGCGGCCATATTGGATTTTCACATTATGTTTTCAAATCAATACTCTTCTGAAATTTACCGATGGATTTTATTGTCCTTTGGCACACATGTACCCAAGAGGCATATATATAAGTTATATATTGTCAGCATCTTTCGATATCTTATTTCGTTTCGGAGTAACATGAAGAATAGTACAAATCTTGTTAAAAATGCAGAAAATGGTCCATTTTCCAAATTTTTTAAATCATAAAATGAAAACCAAGATAGATATAAAAAATGCTGACAATGCAATGTAACCACCCCTAAGGGCAACAAGTATGCCAAGTACCATCAAGATACACCTGTAATCTTCAGAGGAGTTTAAAAAAATGTGTCAAAAATTAAAAAATCAAATATTTTTGACAAAAAATGAGATACCTCTCTAATTAGTGAAGATAGAATAACAATGTAAGAAGAAAAAAATGTTGGGCATCCAACTAGCTACGACTGTGCCAAAGGACAATCAAATCAACAGAGAAATGACTGAGTAAAGGCAAAAAATATTGTAATACCCAATTTGACCCAGATTGACCAAAAATAGGTGGAACACCCCCCCCCCCCCCCCCCCCCCCCGCCTTAAGTTGAAAAATCATCTTCCCTGAGCAACCCCCTTTCCGAAGGGGGAAAAAAAAGCAAAAAAAATAGCAAACAAACAGTACTTTATTCGTAACTCGACACTGTGGAATTCCTGCAGTCTGGTCTGGTAATCTAAGATCATTTAAGATGCAAAAAACTTTTTTCCCCCAAGATAATGGAAGGAATGTCTACACACAACAGTAACAACTCTAGTATCAACAGTGAAACTGAATCTACATGGTTCCATTATTTCCAACGCACATGATTGTCACAATGTAATAGGAGTATTTTAAAATGTTGTGTACAGGTTACAACACTTTGGCACGTGATCGTATTTAATAAGGTATGTCAAAGATGGCAAGAAAACTTCACACTGTAATATTTAAAAAAATATTTTTTAAAGCATCAACATCAATGAAATGTATGATGTTTACAAAACAAGCTACGAACTTTGAGGACCTATAATCTACAGTTCAGAAGGGTAAAGTAACTACAATTTCCAGCAACACTGGCTATAACATTTGTCGAACAGACGACTATAGTAGTGACATCATCACTACCCTTCGCCTAACCTGGTCTAGCTCGTCCTACCTATGACCTCTCTCTACTCTTGTCTAGTCCTCTACTCTCCGGACCCTAAGTATACTGGTATTGGTATATAAGGCCTTAGAGTCGCAATTATCTCATGTTGACCATTCAGACTTCAATAGGTACATTCTGGATGGTCATATCTTCTTTCTGCAGTTCCCAAGATCGTAGGGGCTTTGAACGCCCCAAATCTTTGTGCACTCTCATGCGTTTATTATAATTAACGAGTAAGAGACCACGCTTCTCAATCGTTCTCAGTGATCTTACAAATCACGGACACAACTGATTTTGGGGCAGTAAGGTTTTATAACGCCCCACTCTAAGGTTCCCTGCCCTATGGCATGGGATGCTGTTCGGGGCAGTGCCGGAAGTGGCGTCCAGAACAATGCAGTTAGTATCTAACTACGCTTCTCGCGCGAGAGCGGCGTGATGCTACCCTGGGCAGTGGTGTGACCAGAACAATACAATTTGTAATTACGCTTCTCGCTCCGGTAGCAGCGTCCAAGGTACTAATTTCACCAGATATATGAGCCACGAGCCCTCTGGCTTCACTTTATTGTACTCACCCCGAAAAGAATGAAAGCTGAGGTCTCCTTTAAAATTTTAAAAATGGTGGAAAATTATAAAACTCCTAGCGATTTTGTAGTTTCGTTCGTTAAAGTCAAGAGAAGGGGGGTTTCAGGGGGGCTTGCCCCCCCCGACCTAAAAAAATATGGAGGTGGGGGGTTCAGGGGGCATGCCCCCCTGAATTTTATCCTAATTTGATGTTTTGCAGTTAGGTTGCATCCCTGCTCTTTGTGTAGCCTAATTCAAATAGTATTTGGTCTTCAAGACTTCTGGATTTCTTCTCTGGATGTAAACAAATGGATCGTGGACTTTAACGAACGGAACTACAAGATCACCAAACTCCTTTCTTCATGTATTGTCCCCCCTCCCCTCCCCCTATGTTGTCATCCTGAAGTAGTTATAATGTGAGGTGAGTAGTTAGCCACCTTTAGACAAAGACAAATAGATCTAGAACTATACTTAGAGTGAGTAGAGTGGTGGAGAGAGTCAGCAGAGAGATAGAGATAGACTAGAGATAGAATCTAGATCTAGAGAGAGAGGAGAGGAGAGAGAGAGAGAGAGAGAGAGAGAGAGAGAGAGAGAGAGAGAGAGAGATCTTTCGCTATACGTACCACCTCAGCCTGGACACTTAGCTTCCCAGCACCGGGCTTCACGAAAAAAATTTCTTGATACTTGGACTCATCTGCGGCACTGCTTGCCAAAAGGAAACAGCAACTGGAAAGAATAGCGCTCACTACGGCGTAGCCCCAAATACAGGAAGGCTGATAAAACATGTTGAAAGCAGATCTGGAAATTTATTTGTACAAATGTATTTATTTTGTATGAATTATTCTGCACTTCACACACTGCAAACCGAACGGGAGTTTTCACAGCTGACTTCTGTAGAAGTCTTGTTGAGATTTGATCCAACCGAAATCTTACGTGTGGCAGGCAGTGGCAGTGGAGGTCTTGATGAGAAAATGAAAACATTGTGGGAGTTACTCCCCTTGTCTCTTAACCTTTGACCTCAGGTGTAAAGTTCGATAGATCTATACAATACAACAGATCAGTTGATTCTCTTCGGCCCACCCGTCGCAGAACCTCAGGTTTGGAAAGAGTAAGTCTACTTGCTTCCAGATTTCCTTCGCCATCAGCAAACAGATTGGCCAACGAAATGGCACAGCCCCTCAGATTTGATGGGAAAGTAGTCCTCATCACAGGAGCAGGGAACGGTAAGCAAAATCCTTTGGCCCCGAGCCTGCCTTGAGTGAGATTCCGTATAAAATACTCACTGACACCACTGTCGCGGTCACCGTCAATGAGGACAGTAATTATTCCAGTCACTGATGTATCCACACACGCAATGAGTACATTTATACGTGCCTGCTCATGTTACCTTTTGGTTAGAAATAGCAGTGTTCCTAGATTTATTGGAAAGGAAAGGATACAACTTCTGTTGGCCGGTATATTATAGTAATATATGAAAGTGTACTCAGCAATTTTTACTTGTGCAGTAGTGACAGTGAGTTAGATCTAACATGCGATAAATGTAGAAGGATACAAACTATTTTTAGGTAAGGTGGCCATTTTGTGTGACATCAGACCGGAACACCCCTCCGATGATGTGACTATATTTGTGAAAGTGGCTATTCTCACCCGCCGGAAGTTCTCGCAAGATCAACTCCTCCCCTCTTCTCTCTCTTTCTGTCTCTTTCTGAATACTGTCTATCGGTGTGGACGATCAAATTGACCAAAACAAAGTTTAAAAATGATGTTAAAACACAAAAATAAATTAATTTGGTTGTCTACAAAGATGCTACGGCTATTTAACTTTTCGAATCGAGCCGAATTACGCGGGTCGCCATTTTGTTTTGCCCGGAAATTCTCGCGCTACTCCTCTCTCTCTTTCTCTCTCCACTGCCCACAGACAAAATTGTACGCTTTTAGTAGGCTACAGTTGTAATGGAACGTTTGTTCACGGCACAGAATTCTACAATTTTTCTGTTATCACAGTGTAGAATTCTGTGGTTTAGGGTGAACGCAAAATTTGGTGAACGCGCACCGGGTGAGAATAGCCACAAGACTCACCTGCACTATTCTCACTCCGGGTGAGAATAGAGGTGGCCATATTTGTAAATATAGCCAACGGGATGGCTCAACGCTTTGGTGCGATATTTTTCCAGGAATACCAGTAATGTGATTTTTGATATTATATATGATGCAGTGCTCCGATGATGAATAGTCTCTTTTATACGGTAGATCTAGATCTAGATCTAGAGGAAACGTTCAAAGAATGAATTCTATAGACGCAGTGAACCGGAAAATTAGGAAGCTCAAACCCGTCAATGTCTCAATGAAGGAAATTGTTGACATTCGTACGGTGTCAAACTGGAATTCCGAAATGTTATTAACATACCGGAAACACATCATTCTGTGTGGTACCTCCACTGCCTTCTTAAAATAGTCTGTGGGTATCCCAGATGACATCACATTACTAAAATTAGCAGCCAATCAGAAAGATGCGTCTTCTACGTTTAACGGCATGTGTAGATCTAGGCCTTGTCACCCTTGTGTATGTCTGTAGACTCGTAGATCTGGTAGATTCTAGTTGTAGTAGATCTAGCCTAGAATGAATTTAGAACTATGGATGGCAGATGGACGTGAGCCCAAAGACTAAAGAACAGACGGTCCTGTAACTTGATGGTCACCTCTCTGAACTCATTTTTGTTTAATTAGAGCAGAGTCAGTAGATGCACAGAGAGGAAATTGGATTGGTCCTCTTGCTAGTTTTCTGAACAAAGCGCAATTTATGTTAGTTACCCCAACGACCCATCATCCATCAATAGCAATATTCTTGGCTTGTACATTATACTCTGCTTCCTAATCTTTATCAGCATATCAAAGGGGTAGGCCTAGCATTTAACTACGAAGGGCTAGTCGTACTTAAGAGCAAAATAGAAAAATAGAGGGGTTTTAGGGGCTGAGGTCTTGCAGCATGCTTCTTTTCCACTGGCTTCATAATGATTGCAGTGTGAAACAGACCATTCCAGCTCTGTCTATACTGAATAGTTGTGGATGGGCCTGTGAGATGCAGATTTCTTAAGGCATGAGTCTCGGTAGTACGGTTTAAGGTTTTTTGACACATTCTGGAATATTGCTTGTGTCATCCTCACTATCTGGAGCAGAGAGGGTTTCCGAAGGACTATCTTGAATTGCTCCACCCAACAGGGATCTTTTCATTCACCACTGCCATGTCTCTGTCGCATTACATGTAGCTGTGGCCTCTCACTGGAAGTTATGTGCAGGTTATGTTGGTAGGTGCTTGTGGGTGAAATTATTTAAGTCTGCACTTATGTATTGTCACATTGTGTGCCAAGAGATGTAGAAGAACAGATATCTTAGCGTGTGATTAGGTTTGAGAGTAGAGGCAGTGTCTGTCATCAGTTGACAGTGTTGGAAAAAGTACTCTCCCTCTGGAAATGTACATTCTGTGTTGTGAATTTGCAACTAAGAGCGCTGCTGTAAGGATCAATTGAATATTTAATAGAGCACAAACTCAAGGCAGCTCCCTCCCTCCCTCTCTCTCTCTCTCTCTCTCTCTCTCTCTCTCTCTCTCTCTCTCTCTCTCTCTGATGTGCTCATATTATTACTGTCCATTTTTACGGGGAACAGCTCACCCCAAGGGTGATTCTTTTTCCGATTCATATTTAGGAAAAAAAATTATACGGGCATAAGAAATATTGAAGAAAGTAAATTTTGATAAGTCGAAAAATATTAAAGTTGCCATGGAATGGAAACAGCATCAACATGCAAAACAAACAATAATTTAAAAAAAAACGAAAGCTTCTTACTCTCTAACAAAATTGCATGAACATTGGTGGAATTATAGATACAGATACTATGGTCAGTCGTACTGAGCAAAATTTTGATATTTGAATGTAAAAAAAGATATATATGTATGTGTTCCTGTACCCTGAAATTGCATCACAATAATTAATAAATTAATCATTGTGAACACCAAAAAAAATAATTTTACGCCTCTATCAAAAATCTACTCAGTGCAAAGGAAGGAGGAACATTTTAAAGGCATTCCCAAGGCGAAAAGTGTTAACTCCAAAATGGCCGCTCTTCTTGTGGGTGTGGTACATGTTGTGATGTCAGTGAATGAGATGATGATGCTGGCAGTGGCAGTGATGATGGTAATGATAATGACGAGGAGGTGATGGTGGTGGTGATGATAAAGAGAGATCATGGTGAGGGTGGGGAGTTAAGAAGGAAGAGGTGGTGGTGGAGGAAGGGAGGAAAAAGATGAAGAAGAGAATAGAATGATGGTGAAGAGGAGGAAATGGAAAACCTATGGGGCTGTTCAAATATAATCTTACACTTTTGGGGACCTTTTTAAAACAAAAAACCCAAATACCACTTTTCTCACATTTGCCTCCAGTCCCCACGTACACGAATTTAATATTAGTACTTTTTCCGATCTTCAACTTCCATTATTATTTTAAAGATACCTGTACTAGATCTATACGTGGCTTTTTTTAACCAGCTTGTAATTTTTAAAAAATCATTTCAGTTAATACAATTTAATCAAACCATATGGACTAGAAAGAACGCATATATGTGGAAGACATTGAGAATCTTGTCAATGCAATAGGTACGTGCCTTACAAATAAAAGAAATCAAGACAAAAGATCATCAAAACAGTGGCAAAGTTACAAAGAAACATTAAGAAATTAGATATCCACCTACAGAATTTTCATCATAATTAAAAAAAACCCACAAAAAAACAACCAACAACGGGGATCTGCAGTGATCATGCAGATCTGGGTCTTGTTATTGGCATTTATCCACTTTTTCTTTTATCTTTTCTTCTCAGTCAGGTTAACCTCCCCACCCAATCTTACACTTTTCTTACAGAAGCCAAAGCAGAACAAAAAAATTGCCTTTAACGTTACCATGTGCACTGTCATCTGTTGTGGAACAATGTGAAGAGATGAAGAGAAGTAGGCTTAGTTGCATTGATGCTTTCCATGCATAGTTATTTGGGATTAAGTATGTGGCAGAACTGAAATAACATGTTTATTATTATTTAATATACATGTTTAACTTATCACTGGACCAAAAGCTGGCATCCCCTCATGAACACGTTTATAGAGTTCTTTGAACAATGCCATCTGTCGTGTTTTTCCTTTTTGCCTGTGAGTTCGGAGACAGACGAACAGTATGTGGAAAAGTGAGAAAAGTATCAGTATTTATATATGACTTTCACTGTTTAAAACTTAAATATAATTTTTTCCCCTTTATCAGGTCTGGGCCGCTCATACGCTCTCGCATTTGCTGAAAGAGGTGCCTCTGTTGTTGGTAAGCTTATGTATTTTTCATTCTTGATTAGATGTAAATTGTAATGTAATTTAGTATAATTAGGTTAATCATTTTTGTCAGAAAAAGTACCACAATAGGTCCTCATCCATTCTTTAAGCTCAAGAATAAAAATTTTAAATTCTTATCTTTTAATCCACTCTGTGAGAGGAGAATGCTTTGAATGTTGGGCAGTGGTACCTTTTGAGTTTTGATGGATAGATTTGCTCTGGGGGCTCAGCAACTCAACAGGTATGGTGTTGGTCAGTTAACCCCGAAGTCTGGAGTTCGATCCCTCCCAGGCTTTGGTATTTTTCCTTGTGTTTTCTACATCCCCTGATCTTAAGGTAGGTGAGATGGAGCCCCTTATTTTCTCGGATAAGGACAAACAAATTTTGGAAGTCCCATGTGAAAATTCCGCACTTAAAAAATCCCTTGGTCCGTTTTAGTATTGTAAAGAGTAGGCCCTTTGGACAGCCGCCTTGTCAAAATTCAAAATTAATTCTTTCTATAAACTGAAGCCACTCTAGTCAGAATAAATATTAATTCAAAGTGCTCTGGCAACCAGCGTGGGACAGCTTGTCTGGCAGGGGACGATGCTATGTTCTTCGCTGATAAAACGGCAATGGAAGTAAAATGGTCTGCACTGCGTGATACAGATTTTACAGTCAATTGCTTCCTGAGCTATTGTAGGGATGCAATAAAAAGAAGAAGATTTGTTCATTAATTAAGTCATGATGGCAAGTTTGTCTTCTAGAAATCATCTCACTGAGAGGGTTTGTCACTCTGAAATTGGTCATTATTTTGAAGGCCATTAGTGTTTTGGGACTTCTGCTGGCTGCGGGATGAAGTCTGTTGCCGTATCAATATAGACACCTGACCCGCAGGCTGCGTGCCTGTCATGTGCCGCATCCTCTCCGATGAAGGGGTGACCAATTTTGTCTTTTATCCCGTTCTTTTTGTAGCATTTCGTTAAAGGTCTTCATACAGATAATAGACCCTGGATACTGTTTCAGTGAAAGGCTGTAATGATCTGTTTCTAAAGCTCATTAGACTCTTATAAAAGACAGTTTACCTTCAATGTGGTAAAGCAAACTGTTGCTTAAACTTTGTCCCCAGATTTAACTTTTGCAACCTCCTTTTAGATTCTTTGTCACTTTCCCATATAGGCCTACATTTTATCAGGTGATTATGAAATGACACAGAAGCTTAAAAGCCATTGAGTGATATTAGTTACTGGTATAACAAGATAATTTTGTCAAACTCCCTACTATTATTTGGCTAGTTGTCCTTGAAATTTTTAGTTGTAGTCTTTAGTATCAGGTGACGGCAGTTCATAGTTTTTGATACTAGGTTTTTGTTTATAACACATGCATAGAATTATATAAGCAGTTCTTCCTTCAAATGTTGTCCTGCTTTCATATTTTTGTGATATTTTGTTTTGTCCAGCAGAATTTTGCAATCTCTGTGTACAAGTAGTTTTAGCATTTGTTTCAGATTTGGTTTCTTCTTTTTTATTTCAGCTTATACCTCCTTTGATCAGAAAAGGTTGTCTGAATAGATATATTTCATTTTCAGCCATTTCAGACAGTGTACTCTTCAGTTCTTTGAAGGTGTACAGGAAATTCTGTACTTGGGAGAGATAAATTTTTCTACTTTGTAATGGAAAATGCTTCCCCATCAACGATCACAGATTGACTGACTAGAGGCTCCTGGTTTATGGCCTGAGATATTGTCTACAACTCTGTAACTTTGGCTCCCTGTTCAGTCTAGCATAGCTGTATAATTTTCCAATTCCCATGCAACCCAATCCTTTTTATGTTTCTTGACAAAAGTGGTCTTTGTCATATTGACATGCTATAATGTCCTACACTGTGGGGGCATCTACTACTTTCTATTGAATGTACATGTTGTAAATGAGATTTTGGGTGGGTTGGTTTCTGTGAATTTGACATCTGTCACTCTGTCTATCACCTTGTTTTACAGTAATGGAAAGAGAAAAAGTGTTTGGTTTGAAGGGACAAAAAAGTGCACCAAAAAATTGGGTAATGTCATAGATTATTTCTCTGTCTCCAGTGAATGATTTGGGAGGAGACCACAGTGGCTCTGGATCAGGCACAAAAGCTGCTGACAAAGTTGTTTTTGAGATCAAGTCAAAAGGAGGGAAAGCTGTTGCAAACTATGGTAACAGCCTGATTTCCATATATTAGACTTGTTTATGTATGTGTTATTTGACACCTCAGTTTATACATATATGGCTTGACTTTCCAACTTTTATGACCTTTTTAAAACTGATTTGGCTGTATTGCACACATATGTTTCATGTGGTTAAGAGGCAAAAACCACAAATTTTTAAAATAATGAAGCAAAAGGTATGAGGATGTTTGTATTGCTTTTGTTTTTTTCACCCTATGGTTTGATATTAATGTGTTTTTAAATAAATAGAAAGATGGTCCAAGTTCTAAGGCTTAAATACATACATGAAGTTGAATATATATGATCATGAAGCATGACTCAGATTCTACCCAGTTACTGAGCCTGGCCTACATGGATAGATATATACAGTTGAGAATTTAGTTTATATTTGTAGTGAACGTTTATCAATGATCTGTTTTTAAATCATCAGATTCTGTGGAGGAAGGAGATAAAGTGGTCCAAACTGCTCTTGATGCCTTTGGGCGAATTGGTATGTGCTTTGATTTATTAACGTTTGAAATATTTTATATTCTTTGAGTGGTTGTTGAGTGGCACAATGTCTTATTGTATTGCTTGGATATTATACCTTAGCCTTAGAGTAACTCTAAGCTAAATGAAAGAAATAGGTATCGGTGTAGTCCCCAAGTTTGAGCTTCGTGCAAAAAGCCGTGATTTTGAGGTATGACTTTTGAGGTCTTTGTGGTACACAAAGATCAAACCGCAAAACTGTTAACCCTATCCGTATGCCTGGGGTCATTTTGTACTCCAGGGGTTGTATTCTTCTCGTTTCAGAATACTTCTATTGTGAAGATCTCTTTGAAACTTTCAGTATTTCTCCAAAAATTATTTTGACAGACTGCTATGCAAAGCATATGGATCAGATTATCGAGTAAATTTCCTCTTTGGAAAGTGGTGGCACAGAGTTCCAAACGTCGTATGGATACGATTGTAAAACTCGACATGCGTATAGGGTTAAGGAGTTCCACAGTAGAAGTTTTGATGGCTCACAGGAGAGCAGTGAGGTTGATATAAAATGTCATTTTGTTTTTCCAGATGTTGTCATCAATAATGCTGGAATTCTGCGAGACAGGTCATTTGCAAGGATAAGCAATGAAGACTGGGGTAAGTAGACTACACAATCTCTGAAACCAAAGTTTTGCCTGTGATTCCCAGTTCTATTTTCATGCTTGTCTAAAGAAATTAACCCTTTCGCCGCCAGGCCGGCTCTGGAACTCTAGCAATTAGCTGTAGACAGTGTTAGACCTGGCAGTGAAGCGGCTAAGTACATTTTTAAACATCGTGAGGTGAAACTAAGTACAAAATATTTGCGCAGCGTATGTTATGTTTATGTGGGGGTTATGGGCAACAAAATGAAAAGTTTGTACTGGTCATGCACAGTGGTAGTGAATATTCGAAGTCCGTACTCAGATACACACTCTTTCTCTCTCCTCCCTTTCTTGGCCCTATGTCTTTTTTTTTCTTTCTCTGTCTGTCTGTCTGTGTGTGTATCTGTCTGTCTGTCTGTCTGTCTGTCTGTCTCTGTCTGTCTGTCTGTCTGTCTGTCTGTGTGTCTGTCTGTCTGTCTGTCTGTCTGTCTGTCTGTCTGTCTGTCTGTCTGTCTGT